GCTAATCCATTAATAAATTTAAAAATTAGCAAAAGCCCTAAAGCACTAATAGGGGAAATAATTTCCTGATTAGTGCTTTAGGGCTTTTGCTAATTTTTAAATTTATTAATGGATTAGCCCTTGCTAAATTTATAGTGTAAAATTAGAAGCACTAACTGAGGTCTATAAATGTTATTGATCAATGTTAATGTTAACAGCTGAGGGTGAAAACTGTCACACATTTTGTTCATATGTGTGTCACTTATTCACTAAGTGACAATATATGAACTCAAATAAGGTTGTGGAAAATCAATGATAAGTCTTAAGAGATCAACATGACAACATGTGACTCATGTTGTTTCTTGAAGAATGTTCATGGCGGACTGATTTATTTTAGTGCKTTAGAAKTAGTTTTTGTTAAAACTTTCARTGCATTAGTGCTTTAGAATCAGGGCACCTAAATATTTGAGTTAGTGTTTTAGGCCAGTGGAACTAATTTTTAGAWTAGTGCTGCCCACCACTGTTTAGAACCTAAATCAACCAACAAACCAAAAAAATCAATCAATCAAGAGGTGTCAGCGCCGTCAAATAGACAAGTAGTATTAATACCTAATCCCATCAAAAATTTGAAAATGGACGGTCCAAATCAAAGGTGACAAAACCTTTTCTATTCAAAGCAACACACGTGTTGAAATAACCCTTTAATTCTGCTTTGGCTACATTTTCTCCCACCCGACATTAGCAAAAACCTAAAACCCCTTCGACAGGAAAACAGCAAAAGTTGTAGCCACCACTAGAGTCTTGACAACAGCGTATTTTTTTACTGCTGTAAATAATTAAAAAGTAAATGTAAAACACATTAGGGGCACTTTTTCAAACCGTAAGTGAGCACATAAACAGAAATTGGAAGGAACGGAGCGGCTTCCTGCTGCYACATTACTCTCCAAACTTTCTCGGGCTTCAGTAACGTTTCTTAAGGGCATGCGAGTAAAAATACAAAGACTGACACCAGTAGGAGGACAGTTGACTCGGTGTGTCAGATATGGATTGAAACATCAAACAAAGCGCAGCTCTTCAGAAGAATCAAACCAACATCATTTTTCAAGGTTGTGCACTGGTACAAGTGCTGAAAAAGAAATTCAATCCAAGGACATGATTTACAGCCTTACAGAATAATCTTTCTTTCATCAATGTCTTCTTTGTGTCATTGACAGATCTATAATGTGACCTCACAGCCGTCTTTTATTTTAATTTGGAAATGTACGCAGGTCTTTTTTAAGGAGGCCTGTTTGTCAGTGAARTATCCATTGTGCGTCATTTTTAATATTTAGTCAGCACATTATTTCTTAACAGACTGCAAACGTAGGTCTTGGCTTGGTTGAMGTGAACTCAGGTGCCGTTTGAATGCATGAATAAAAGTGTGTGTTACGCTAACAGGAGGAATGTCTCGTTGAAGAGTTTTTGGCACATTTGCCAGAGATTAAAGAAAAATCCTACAAATTCTAAAATCTGACTCCCATTGTTTAAATTTTCTGAAGAAGGAAGTGGCACTCAGAGTCTTCTTCAGAGGCTTTTGTGTTGTTTTCTTCAGTGGTTCTAGGTGCAGCGCCCCCACAGGCGAGGAGGTAAACCGTGAACTGTGGTGTTTGCAGGTTCTTAAAAAGTCCTAAATTCACATATCTAAAATTAAGACCTTGAAAAGTCTTAAATTTATTTTTAAGATGTGCAAGTTGGTCTTAAATTTGTTACTCAAAGGTCTTAATTTTGTTGGGCAGAAGCAATTAAAGTACTTCGTCTTTAGAGTGAGCTGTTGAATGAGCTGCTCTTGAATATCTAAATGGTATTGCAGTTGTTTAAACACGGGGTGGGCAATCCTGGTCCTTKTTTCTCTGCTCCAACACACCTGATTTGAATGAATGGGTGATTATCAGGAAGAGGTCATTCAATGACTGAATTGCTTATTGTATGCTTATTGTTCTCTGTGTTCATTTGGTTCCCCATAGCGTTTATACTTATTTCTTCATTGTGTGCTCTAATATTTTTTCTTTATATTTTATCTCTAATGCTAACTTGAGCATTTGCAGCTGTAGTAATTGCAATTTCTCCCCGAATATCAATCAAGTATTCTGATTCTGATTCTGAATCGGGTGTGTTGAAGTAAGGAAACAGTAAAGGGCTGCGGCCCTCCAGGACCATGATTGCCCAGCCCTGTTTTAACRGCACCATCTTTATTCCAGGGTCWGTGCTCTGTCCTGCCCCCATCATTTTGTCCAATGGTGGCAATGATTGTAACCTGCGTTAAAGTCTGCTTTTGGTCTGGACCAAACAAGTGAACCAAAGTGTCCTGATGCATCTCAGTAATCCAGGTAGAAATGATCAAAAAGAAAAAAAAGTAGGTCCTCTGGATGGGTTCTTCTTTAGTGAAACGTTTCGTCTCTCCTCCAAGAGACGTCTTCAGTCTGAGAGTTTCAGGTGAACTCAGCCTTATAAGCACTGCCTCTACATGGACAAACAGGTTAGTCACATGCAAAAGAGGGCCATCACCTAACAATAGGCTTGATTAGTGCTATTGTTCATAGAGGGTCATGTGACCCATCACCTGACTTATTGGTTTGGATTTTTTGGCCGTGGTTATTTGGTGTCGCGTTTTGTGAATGTAGTGAATGCATGCGGGGGTCAACGTCCCCTTGTTTTCGTCCCTCCCTCCCTCTTTGTGTTGGGTATCGTTGGGGCCCTGATTCACACCTTTTGCTCACAGGGGGCGGAGTCACACTTGCAATAACAGCATTAAAGG